TTTTTCGCAGGCTTTTCTTCCTACATCTACTACAACTCCTGGCTGCAGCTGAGCGGCAACCTCTGCCACATGTCCCCATCGGAAGCGTTTGCTTTTCTTTATCCCACGGTGAATCTCCGCGACTCCACGGTGTCTGTGTCCGGCAACCGATTCATGTCCAGCACTGACAAGCCAATAATACTGCAGGTACCCACGGTGTCCCGCGATCTCACAAACGGAGCGATTGTGGCTGCGTGCAACACCGTGAACGGCGAGGAGGAAGCGAACTACGTCATTCCGTCCGTGTACAATGCCACCGTTCTGGCCTGCAGTGATCCATGCGCCCTTGCGACGTCGTGCTTCCCTGCGTACACGACGACGGCCTCGAGTGATGGCTGCGCCTGCGCTTGTGCTGAGGGCGGCCACGGCGATGCGTGCCTGCCCGTTGCTGCTCCCGAGCCACCGAGCACCGACGGCGCCGATTTGTGCGTGCGGGACGTGCGTGTGGATGAAGTGGTGAACGCCGGTCTCGGGACGTCGGTGGTGTGCTACGTTGGCGTGACCTTTGCGGCGGACGTCGTGGTGGACGTGGAGTCGATGTCTGGGAGCGTGCGCAACGTGACGCTGGCGAACTGCACGTTTGTGGACGGAGCGAGCCTGTACGTTGTTGGGTGGCTGTCCGACCCGCCTGCTGGCGAGCGCGCCGATGTGCTGATCAGCGGGCTTGAGTCGCGTTCTGGCGGCGGTGCGCTGGTGGCGAACCGATTTCCGCCGGGCTCGCGCATCACTGTGGTGGACTCGGTGCTGATCGCAGAGAAGCGTGTTGTGTACCATGACGCCTACGACCTTGGCGATGCCTCCGCGTGCCTCGTGTTGCACAACGTGAATCTGACGGGGAGCGTGCTGACCATCGCGCGCACGCATTTGGCGGCTGTGTTCCGCGACGCTGTTGGCGTGTTGGTGGTTGGCGGCGTGGCGGTGTCGTCGCGCGGCGCGCTGTACGTGGACGGGCTGTCGGTGCAGACGGCGCTGGGGCTGTGCGTGTCGGTGGAGGGCGGTGTTGCGGCCATTGGCGGCTCCGTGGTGGCGTTTGTTGACAGCGACTTCCTGCTGTGCAAGCACGCGGTGTCTGTGCGTGGGGCTGTGAGCGTGTCGGGCTCCGCTGTGGCGCTTGTGCGGAACGAATTTTCGTCGACGGAGGACTACGCGGTGACGTTTTATTCGACGGTGAGCCTGGCTGGCGGGTCGATGCTGCTGGCGAGGGGCAACGTGCACGACGGCGTCTCGAGGGAGATGCTCTACGCTGCTGGCGCCGTGACCGCTGCTGGGAGCACGCTGAGTTTCGTGCGCAACCGAGCACTGCTGCCGCGGATGGTCTCGCTGAGCCTGTCGCTTGCGGCTGGGGCGCATTTGAGGGTGGCGTGCAACGACGCGGGTGGACGTGTCCTGTCGACGGCGGAGGAGTACGCTGCGGCTGGTTTTGGCGACGCTGGGAGCATCGACGTTGTTGGGTGCGACGTCTGCGACAGGGACACGCACTGCTACGCGCCCGGGACGGCGTCTGCGAGCATGAGGAACGGTATGTGCGTGTGCGCGTGCGGCAGCGGCGGGTACGGCGAGGCGTGCGTGCCTGTGGGAGCTCCTGCACTGCCGCCCGCTGTGGGCACCGCGTCGAGTGTGTTTGTCCGCGAGAGCGTGACGGTGCGGTCGGTGTTCGTTGTGCCTGCTGGCGCGAGCGAGGTGACGCTGCGCCACGTTGTGCTGGACGGCGTGAGTCCGGTGCTCTACGTGCCGTGGATGGCGCGGGATGGCGTGCGGATCGTTGTGCAGAACGTGTCGTTGCGTGACGGCGCCGTGCTGTACGTGATGGGCGGTGGAGCGTTGCGCGGTGCGGTGGCGGCGTGGAGCGACGAGAGCGGGCCGGTGGAGCTGTCCGTGTGCAATGTGGAGGCGCTGAACGGTGCGCTTGTGCTGACCGGCACGTTTCCCGCGGGGTCTGTGCTGACGGTGACGGACTCCCTGCTGGTTGCCGCGACGTCGACGCCGCTTGTGTATCTTCCCGGCTCGCGGTCCTCGCCGTACGCACCGGTGCTGGTGCTGTCGGGCCTGCGTCTCGTGCGGTCCGTGCTGGTTGTGTCCGGCGTTGCCCTCGTGACCGTGGTGACTGGTGGGCGGACGGTGGCGGTGGACGGCGCCGTGCTGGAGCTCGTCGGTGGCGGTGTCGCGCTGGACTCGGCTGTGTTCGGTGGCGAATATGCGTTGTACGCGAGTGCGCGCGTTGTTGCGTCGGGGGGCGCTGTGCTGCGCGTGTCGGGGAGCCAGGTGTACGCCGCGCATGGGTTGGTGTTTGACAGCGGTGTGGAGGCCAACGCGTCCGCCGTCGTGGTGAACGACAACGCCGCTGCGCTGACGGATGGCGCGCTGCTGGTGCTGCGGGGGCCGGCGTCGTTTGGGTCCGGGTCGTGGCTGTCGGTGCGCGGCAACAGCATCAGCGGCAGGCTCCTGTCTGTGCCGTCGTACCCGCGCAGTGCGGACCTTGTGCAGAGCACGCTGACGCTCCACGGGAACGCTGGCAGTGGGCCCGTTGTGATGGACGGCACCGTTGCGCTTGTGGGCGCCGGCCGAAGGTTCGTCGTGGGGTGCCTGACGCTCAACGGGCAGGCGCTGCAGCCGATGGACTACAGGTCCGCCGGCATCATCGGGGAATTCCGTCCCGTGGCGTGTGGCGTGTGCGACGCCGACGTGCGCTGCTTTGCTGCTGCGACGAGGGCGATGTCAGGGTCGTGCGGCTGCCGCTGTGCTGAGGGCGGGTACGGGCGCGACTGCCTGCCGGTGTACCTGCCGCACGTGGACGGGTGCAACCGCACGCCCGCTATGCCGCCGCTGAGCCACACGGCAACGCTGACGGAGACGCGCAGCCCGACACCGACATGGACGCCAACGTGGACGCCAACTCCGACGCCGAGCCTGAGCGCAACGCACTACAGTCCGACGCGGTACGGGCCGACGGAGACCCCGCAGGTGACGGAGACGGTGGCGCTGTCGCCCACGCGGACCCCGACGGCGTCGGTGAGCAGCACGCTGTGGTGGAGCGACGTGGCGTGCCCTACACTCACCGTGACGACGACGGCGGCTGGTGGGAGCCTGACGCAGAATGACATCCGCGGCGGTGGGAGCGCCGTCCCGACACGGCTGATGGTGGCGCTGCCGCCGCCGTTTCGGTGGGCACGCGACCCGCAGCTTGGCACGCATCTGAGCTTCGTGCCGGTGTCGACGGCGCAGCCGAGTGGGTTCGGCGGTCCGTGGGGAGCGATGCTGAGCAACGCGACGTGGGTGCGCAACGCGACGAATCCGTCCACCGTCCTGGAGCTGGCTGTGCCCGTGCACCGCGGTTACTTCATTGCAGCCGACGAGACGATAGTCATTCGCTGCGACGCTGTGGCGGTGTCCGGCGGCTGCAAGGGTGTGCTGCTTGGGTTCTTCACGATCAGGTCCGCCACGCTGCCCGCCGCTGCCAGCGCCCTCTCGGCGATCACCGGCGTTGTTGCGGGTGCGGCGGCTGTTGCGGTGGTGGTGACCGGCGGGCTGGGCTCCATCCTGGAGATGCAGGCGCTCGGCGTGTTTGCGAGGATGTCATGCGCCTCGGCGCAGGAGCGTGCGAGCACCGTTGCGCTGCCGTACTTCCTGTCGGTGTTTGCTGCCCTTGACCCGCTGTGGATGGTGGTGGGCAACGCGCTGCTCGCCGCTGTGTTCGGGTGCGTGCACTACAGTGTGACGGCGGCCTTCGAGCGGTGGCGCGGCGTGGACGCGGCGAGTGCGTGGGCGGCGATGCGCTTCCCGAGCCTGACGTACGTTGTGGCTCACGCGATGCACCTCGGCATCTTCTTTGGCTCCGTGCTTGCACTGGCGACGCCCGGTGCCCGCGTGCAGCACCGCGTGATTGGTGTCGTTGGTGTGCTGTACGGTGTGGCGTTCCCTGCTGGTGTGTGCTACTTGATTGCCCGCCACACGGGCGCGAGCTTCGAGAGGTACTGGCAGTTTTCGAGGAAGCCGCTGCACGAGCGCCTGCTGTACCCCGTCGGGTATTGGCACCCCGCGGCGCAGCAGCGGATGTACGGCGGCATGCTGACGAACATGAGGGGCAGCCACGTGTACTGGTGTGTGTTCCAGCTGTCGGTGCTGTGCGTGGTGTGCCTGATTGCGGCTGTGCACTCGCCCGTGGGAGGCTGCCGCGTCCAGTACTTCTGCATGGCGGCTGTGCTGCTTGCGGGCGCGGGCGTGGTTGCCTTCACGAACACGATGCGCTCGGCCTTCCTGACGGTGATGCGCACTGCGAGCTTTGTGCTCCTTGCGGTGCTGTGCGTGGTCAGCGCGGCCAACCACCTTGCGCCGAGCGACGGCGGTGCGAGGGCGTACGCGGCTATCGTGCTGCTGCTGACCACTGTGCTGCTTGCGGTCACTGTGTACAGTGTCGTTGTGTGGCACGCGGAGGACCGCCACTGGCAGGAGCTGCGCGAGCCGCGGCGTGGTGTGCTGGAGGCGCTGCTGCGCGATGACGAGGAGAGCGACGAGGAGACGCAGAAGCCCCACGAAATGGCGTCATCGTCGTACGCCTTAGGCACCACCGTTGCGTCGTCGTACCAACCACCCGCGCCGCCATCGCAGCTCATGGCCGGTGACACCCGCTCAGACGCACTGAGCCTGTTCGACCGTTCATCCAGTGCGAGCCGTATGATCGATTACGCCGCCATGTGACGTACGCCACGTGGAATTAGTAAATATGCGGTGCTTGAGGCGCCACGGCTGTGCTGCGCACCACAGCCAGCCGTCGTTAACGGCACCTACAGTGTTGTTGGTCGTTGTTTCTATCAATTTGTTTCTATTTTGATCGGGTGCTTTCAGGAGTTTTTCCCGTTCCACGCTGACTGTGTGGAAGGGATTGAGTTGTCGCTCTTGTTACTGCTGATGTTGTGTTGTATCGGATTGTAATTTCATGGAGTTGCGTGCGAGGAACCCAACGTTCATTCTGTGCAATGGAGGAAGGATCCAGCGAACCGCCTAGTGGAAGTAATGAATTGCAGCTCTGCCTTACCGCGGATTTACATGCAGGAGGCATTACGGCTCTCAGAAGCAAGGCGGCGACAGAGTAGGAGCAGGTCTCCGGGTTTCCAGGAAAGTTTTCGAGCGGGATTATGTATAGAGGCACGACGCATTGCCGTGATTCCGGCTTATTTCGTTGTGGCGAGTGCACGGGGTGATTGATGTCTCTTTAGCGGTGGAATTGACGGACCAGGCCATCCCAGTCACGTTCCACACTTGTCCTCGAGCGCACCGCCGCCATGGCAGGATCCCTCATGTGTGCACGTGGAGCGTGGGAGCCTTGATGACGCGGCATTGGGATTCGTTGCCCGTTACGGCCCGCAATTTTGTGTGTGCAGGAGGTGTGACGGCCACTTCCGGCAATTTGCACATCCCTTCACGGCGCTGCCTTTGATTTAGTTGGCGCACCGCCTTCCATAAGCAAGGGATGTTGTTGCGGATTGGCCACGCTGGTACGGGGATGCCTCCACGAGGAATTCTTCTTTTTCCCAATTCCCCTACGGCCCTCCGAAATTCATGCACCACAGCAGACACAGAGCGGTGTGGTGTTAGCACGGAGAGTACGATATTCACCGAGACTGTTTCCACGGCAGCGTGCGTCTATGCGCCTTCTCGTCGAATCGTGGAAGCACGCGAGCACACGTCGACGGTTCTGGACCACCTGGCGACTCACATCGTCGAAGTACCCTTTTTTCTCGCCCGCAGCACCGAGTAGCGCACACACGGATGCAGCTTGCCTTTGGCCACTGCGACATACCCAAGAACGAGGCATGTGATGCATAAGCCAAGGAGGCGTCCGACCTCGCACAGCTCAGAGGCACATGGAGCACCGGCATCGTTTTCATTGGCCGAAGGTATTATTCGTGCCCGACAGCTCAGGCCAGAAGCTTGCCGCTCCACTGTATCAGGCGACTGGGAACTCACGCGCACGGACGCCACCCTCACTCGTGGGGAAGAGGCCGCACTGGACCGCCTCCGCACCGGAGTTTCCCACACAATACGGATGGCTGCCACGGCCACTGCAACCCGCCATCCCACGCACATGCCGTTGGTGCGGCGCGGATGCCGCACAGCAGGCACGCAAAGAACTTTGCACGGAAACGCCTCCTCCTCCCGCTGGACCTCACCCCGCCACGATCCGATGCCCGGCAGACTGCCCGGTGTGCGGCAAGCACTGCAGTTGTCGCACTGGTGTCGTGACGCACATGGTTAACGCCCATGGCATTACGCGCTCTACCAGGCGCTGTGGAAAGTTAACTTTCCCGGTGAGTCGGAACCGCCAGAAATCCCACCGGAACCACCGCCCAGCACTTGAGCGAGGACGAGAGCGAGGGACGGCACACCGATCGCACCTCCGCCGCAGACTGCACGGCCCAGGCCGAAGCCACTCCCATGCAGTTTCCACACGGCGTCGTACGAAAGGCAAGCCTGAACCGTACTTTATCTTAGGCGCTTCCACAAGCAAGGGTTCCCCCGACAACTAGAAGGCGCTGCCAGGAATATGACGGTCTGACGGCATCCAACCCCGTTCGAATGCACGTACTGTGAATTCGGGGCTCAAGCGAAGGCGGGACCACCATCCCGCATACGAGCACACGAACGCTCCAGCACAGAGCCACGGTCGGCACCGAAGAAGGAAGCACTTCGTAAATGCCCTTGATGCGACAGGCAGGCGGGCAGTGCCGGGGGGTTGACCACCCACACACGGCACAAACACCCGACAGAAAGAAAGTCGTGACACTAAAAATGGAGATTAAATAGCCACGTGCTGCAGGGCTTGAACCTCCGCATGAAGAACATCAAACCCGCACAGAAACCCCGCCTCTGCACAGGAGGAGAATGCCACCGAGAAACAGTGCACCGTGAGCCCAAAGTGGCACGCACACGCATGCGTTGATGGACGTCACGCTGTCGCCGATGTCACGACGGCAGAGGGGTCAGGCCGCCGAGAAGGCGCACGTTGCCCGGTGACGACAGCCCGATGGGATCCCCACCAGTTTAGTTTCGCTGTCCAGCATGCGGGTGTCAGTGCCACAGCAATGCCTGACTGACCAGCTACCGCACGGCACGCCACGGGCATCGACCGGGCATTGTGAAAACCGGCCGACTGGAACTGTGCGGAGGGGCATGTCGGCATTTACTCCGCTGCCCGGCTCTGCAGGCGCCCAGAAAAAAGCATGGAGCGGACATTGGAGAAGTGGGGAAGCCGTGCTTCACGGAAATATTGGTGTGTCTCCACTTTGAAGTGGAAAGGCTCTGCCCCAGCGGTATCTCCGCGCGGCGAGAAGGCACGAGGCTCCTCGCAGATGCGGCAGGCCGTATTTTCTCCTGGCAGGCTGCCCTCCTCTCCTTTTCTCATTTATGGCGTCCATGTTTGGTTGGTTCTGTGTTTTGTTGTTTTATTGATTCTTGGCGGCAACGGATTATCGAGCCACCGCGCTCTCCCCGGGGCGGGTGCGTAGCGGTGGTGTGTGCTTCACGGCCTCCGCTGCGGCTCCCACTTCGGGTGCCGGGGCTCTCTTTCACATCTCCGATCGTTGGGCGGACGTGCTCTGCGATGGTGGCTGGCGTGTGGACCTTCGTATTTATTTGAGAAGACACGAGGAATAGTAGCAGTATATATATATCAACAGCGCTGAATAGATATTAGTACTGACATCTAAATGCCTATCTACATAAATGTGCAGCCAATAAAATGGCAATTCAATAAATCAGGAAACCAAGCAATCTGTCAAATTTTAGGGGAACGAAGGGATACATCCATATCTATACAGATGCATCAATGAATAAAGTATCGTTTTTATGCTCATACCCATATCGATATATCTACACATTGATCAACGCCTATTTTCATATGTATATCCCTCCATATAATTTTTCACCGTTCTTTTTTATTCGTGGCATCTTGCTTACGCTATATTATGTATCCTTCTCCCGTGAGTTCCTGCTTATTTTTTTAGAGCGCATAGGCATTCCGTCCCGCGGTCAAGGTTTCATATGCACTGAAGCACCCCATCGTACAAAAGTCGCAAGAGGTTTGCGAAGCCCATCCCAGTTGAATGCTGTTTGCTATCTTTTTTGATCTTCTGAGGAGCCGCGAGGTGTGATTGCGTTGCCCCTGACACCCAACACAATGACAACTTTCAACGAGCAGTTTGCAGGCGCATTGTGCAGTTTTCCTGAGGTGTGGCCCACACCTGTATTTTGGGAGTGAGTGCACGGTGTACCTGTAGGGGATGCTGAGGGCGGCGTCAGCGAGGCATGGGACAACATGTACTTCGGAACAAGTGTGTGGCGTTGGCCCGAGGAGGTCCTGTGCCAACGGCATCACTGATTGATGGCCAGTGATTTTGGGGCTTTCAGCTTCCTTGCTTTAAGGAATGGAACGGCGCTGGCTGACCAGGTGCCACATGCTATCTAATCTGTCCTGGATGTGGCTTAAGAGACGATGCGGACGCATGCAGAGGGGGAAAAGGAAGTAGGACGTTGTGTGGAAATGCACGTGGACGTGTCAGATGGTCACGATATTCCTCAAGAAGTGTGGAGCTCCGACTTGATGATTCGATCTTCCTGATAAAACTGCCTGGGGTGGAGGTGAGTGCGCTGACTTCCGTTTCACCGAATTTTCCTTCATCCGACAGGCTGCGCGGCTGACGTGGAGGGACATCATGCGCATCTGTTTCCGGCGGGTGCGATGCCGTTTCCCACATTTGAGGGCGACTTCCCCGATGATGCACTCTGTCATCCTCACTTGTTTTATCTGACGACACTTCGCAACGCGGGGTTGGTGCTGAGCGACGAAAGCCTTCCGTCTCGGTTGGAACCAAAACGGAGAGCCCATGAAGAGGCATGCTGCTTGCGGTTGGTTGATGCGTTGCCTGGGAGGAGTCTGAGTGCCGCCGTGGAGCATCTCATTTGCTTGATTGCATGACCCTCTACACATTGCAGAGGCCTCGTGCTCCTGAGTAATGCCGATAGGGCGGATCGCATGATGGTGTTTTATTGCTGGAAGGCACCGTGAGGAGGAAAAATATTATTTATTCTTTCTTCTTCCTGGACGAGACGAATCCGTTCTTTGATTGAAGTACGAGTGCCTTGTCGCAGCTCTTTTTGGCCGCTGGTGGCTTTGGTGTTTGTTCCAATCAATGGCTCTCACTGGCGGCTCCAAGGCCTAATATCGACTGGCGTTGTCGCTCATGGGCCCACGTTGCTTGACCCATCAATTGTTTGTGCAACTGGACAACAAGTTCTCTGTGGACGTGGATCATGTTTCGCGGAATATTGCCACAACAGCTGCTGAGTGGGCTGGTGGTTGTTGCGTCCTGCATGAATCTGTTCTTGCGTATTTCACTCTGTTGCGTGTAAGTGATGTTACATCTGTGCCTCGTTGTGTGGCAGAGGCCTGAGCCAACGGAGGACAGTGTGTTGTGATGAGTCAGGGCACAGACAACACCCGTGTTGCTCATCGTTATGCTCGTTTTCACTGCGGTCCTCGACGTGGGAACATTTTATTTTGTGCGGTATGGAGAGCACTCGTCCGGTGGCATATCGCCGTGTGGTGGTCTCTGGCTCAAATGACCCTGTGGAATACTTTGTGAGGGCGAAGGATGATGGCAGGACTGTTGTGCCCACACAGACGGAGACGAGAACAGGCT